CATGTCCCACGTCTCCTTCGAGTTCGTGGTCAAGATCCGCCTTTTGGCGCCCTCCTTGCTTGACCCTGCAACATCGACCTTGCTATGTTTTGACTCCAGGAACCACCCAGGCTTCGGCTTTATGGCATTTATTCTAGAGACAGCATCCGGGCCAGCGGTCAGGAGAAGGACCCTCTCCACATCAAGTGAAGACATGAGAGGCCCAAACGGACCGCCAGGACCAGGACTGTCAGAGCCAAACCAGCCCCCTATCCATGAGCCAAAGCGTCCGAACAGCGAGCCAATTAGTGGAATAGCCGTCCCTATCCCGATCAGTGCACCGCCGATAGCGGTGAAGACTCCGGTCATCGCCATCGACTGTATCACGGCAAACGCCGAGCCCGCTACCACACTACCGATGGAGGATTGCCAGCCCGCCGCGATAGAGCCTTATGTAACACCATTACAAGTAAGTATATCAATATGAGGTATAAGCTAAGCGGAATGTATATATCGGTGGCGCAGAATTACCCAATATAGGCCCCGCTGGGCCAAACCCAATAGCCAGCGGAAGAACAATGGTCGCAATCCCGAGGCCAATACCAAGGCAGCTGAAGGCGAACTTCCACGGGTTCTCTTTTGCGTAGGCGACGAGCTCCTCCCACGCTTCTTTGGGGTGGGCAACGTAATATTGGACGTTTCGCTTGCCGTCTCGGCGGAGCCTCCTCAGGAGCCACCAGACTTGTTCCATGATGTCGGCTATGGAAACAGGGGATTAGTAATTTGGTTATAAAAGCGGGAGAGGGAAGTTGGGGTGGTATACGCATTGTGAATTAGATGTTAAATTTCTCTTCGTTAATATGGTGAGGATATATTCGGCGGTGGAGTAGTGGGTCTCGATGGTTTTATAATTTACTTGATTGATGGCGCGGTTCAGGCATCCCATAGTTCAGGCATCCCATTGTTGCAGCTCAGACATACCGTTCATGTGGTTAGGGCTGGCTGCAGGAGCTTCATGTGCCTCTCCGTGGTTGCCGTTTGGGATATGATATTCCGAACCTGTGCTTAGTGAGAACCCATGATGCAATATATACCAGACTGTTAACGCTTCTCGTCCACACGCTGATAACGCAGAGCCGGATAGAGAACCAGCCGCCAAATCATAATTCGCTGTAGAATATCTTCTAGCCTTTCTTGAAATAGTACGCTCAGCACATTTCATAGTATTGGAGGATTCTCATTTGTCATCATGAGAAACGGGTTCCGACTCATTCTTTCTCTGGTATTTATTAGTCATGTTTTTCTATTACTCATACGTCTATGATTCACTATGTTTTGTGTTATCTTTCTTTAGTATAAATACGGGGCATTCCCCCCCTCCAGTGAGTTGGAACAACACGCTCAATTACTACACTTCTCCACATACATTTTCTCTAGCCTTTGGGGAAGCCGATGGCAACTCATATCTTCCCCCCTCGGGAGGCCGTAACCCTCATTTATAACTGCGTGCCTTACCGGCAATGGTCATAGTTATTCCCGTGCAGACACCAATCATGGGCTGGTGTAGGTTCTCAAGCTCCATTAGTATCTTTGCTCATTTCTATTTAGGAGCGTAGGGGAATAAAATCAGGGTTAGGGTTCTGACAGGGTTGAGGAGAGCCAGGGTGGACCTGTTCAGCGTCGCGCAAGCCCAAACCCGGTTCGTTAACCGAATGTTTAGGTCACGGGAGTCGAGCGGGCGATTTCGGCTATCTTGAAAAAGTCCATATTCGTTATTGTCGTAGAAAATAGACGGTACTCAAGGATTCACGTAGTTTCAAGGGTGCTCGCGTGTCTTCGCCGAGAATGTGCACCTGACTTGGGAAACTAAGGTATGCGTTTAAACACCATCTCCGCAGTCGCGGTTATCCTCATATACTTGATCTCGGCCATCCCTCCTTCTCCGCCGTACGTACACCCTCTGTACCCCTCCCACTATCCGACCTGGTTGATACTTCCGCGGTGGTCGAATATGCCTAGGCAGAGGTCAGTATTTGGACGACATACCAGCGGGGACACGCCACAGGGTGTCGACTTGTCTGCATACACCCTGCAATTCGTACTCGCTCTGTGTCTTGTCGAGTTGGGGTTGGTGCTGTTCGGGTACGAGACTTCATCAAGGATTCGTAGTTCATTGAATAGTGTCTTGAACAGAGCGAGACAAAATACTAATGGTATTAGTTGAAAGTACCGCAGCGTTCGTGTTCAGAAAGGAAAAGGAGAAGTGCAGCGATCGAGTAGTGATGTAAGAGAACTCGAATTGCGAAGTGCAGAAAAGGTGTTGCGTACAGAGAAGAAAGAGAGAAGAACCAGCTACCAATGACTTGAAACCCTTTTTATATATACCCCCGATGTTGATATGTTCCTAGGATGCCCCCCCACTGGTGACCCTGTAAATTCGTCAACAGGCTCCGCTGAAAAATTATCCTGGTAGGTAGGTACATAATCACTGCGCTCTTATCTCATCACCAAGCTACTTACTATGTAGCTCTGGCTCATATATATCCTCTGTCAACCCTGTTTTCAAAATAGTCTCCCCCGAATTGTATCTTTGGGTGCAGTGAAAGAAGCGTCTCCGATCGACCTCGCTCATATATTGATGCTGTGAGTACGTATCAAGTGGAAGCTCGATCGTAGAAATCGGCACTTGTTGTGGGGTATTGAGGCGGGACGGAGTCGGAGGGTAGCTTGAGCATGGAGTGTACGTGGGCGGCGTGGTATTTCTGGTGCTGCCATTGCGCGAGGATTTTGAAGTTCCAGTGAGGAGCGGCACGGTGGGTTTTCCGTTGTTGAGGGAGTTAAGAGAGTTTTTATGTGAAGGGAGCCAAAAAAGATAAATTGCGTACTTACAAGTAGTTTCCTGTGATATAAGTGTCACCTATATATATATACATAAGTATATATGGCATCAAGCCAACTCTGGCCGGACCTTGCGGTCTCACCATAGCAGAGTCTACACACTCTTGACTTCGGCCAGTGACGTGACACATGCAGTTACCGGTTGGTACTCGTTGCCAGGCATTTTGCATGATCTACTCGTACTTTCACGACGTTTGTAAAAGGAACCACTATTGCATACCATACTAAATGTGGACTTGGCGTGTATTTGTATGGTATGCAATAGTGGTTCCTTTTACAAACGTCAGGAAAATACGAGTAGAGTACTCGGGGCAGGCAAAAAGTACCGGACAATGCAAGTTTTGTCTCTGGGCTTTTTTTGCAGTAGTTCACGCCTAGCACGCGCACCCATTGGTGAAACAAGAACCTGCATTGTCCGGTACTCTTTACCTGCCCCGAGTAAGGGCGTCCCGTTCTGCAGCTGCAGCGCTGATCCTTGCATAAACCTTAGCGATAGCTGGGGCCGCTATATATCCGGAAATGTAACTTCGGACGATACACTACCAATCAGCTGAACTGACTACTCTTTTTGCCAATGCGAGGAGTCAAATACGCAATCAGAAATTAAAACTGACAATCGAGCTGGAATCATCAGTTGTAGCGTCCGGGAGTTTTTTTTTTTTGGGGGGGGGGGGTGTTGCAAGATTTTTGTCTACGAAATTTAAATCTCCGAGGCCGGTGGTTTAATTTCTGTGCTTGTTAAGCTGGCGATGCGCATCGGCCCAGTGAAATTAAAGTGTCCGGCCGGTAATATCATGTGGGCTTGAGAGTTCTAGCGATAGTCCCTAACATCAAGCCATCTCCTGCGGTTGACGATGGCGATTGGAGGATGGTCTGACGGAGTACAACTGCAGGTGGTGCCTGGGATTATGTTTTGTGTAATTAAATGCATGTACTCTACAAAAGGGAGGGATTTTGCAGACAGGTTGGATCGACGTTACGGATCACAAACGATCACTCTGTCAATGACAATGACAACAATGTCTTGGTACAGGGTTAGGGTTAAGCTCGCCCAATGCTGGCGCCAAGATTGTCTGGCTCCTGGTAAGAGATCTATCTCTTTATCATTCTTATCAAGTACCCGATCTCACGCCTCTGTTGTGATTTGAGCCAATAGAAACAATCAGATGTTTCCAAGTATGGGCGACTGCATGTACCGGGTGTGCACGTTAAATACCGAGACGCCTTGAAGGATTGGTTGATTTTGTATGGGAACCGCCCATGGTAACCAAAAGCAGCCAATGAATTTTGGCCTTGGCCTCAAAATTTATATGGTGGAAAAAAATACCGAGACGTTTTATCTATCTTCACTTAAAAATTCAAATATTTTCCTAAAAATACAAAAAAATAACCACTGAATAGCCCTTGCTCACAGGCTCATCTGAGTACTGATTCGAAGTTATCAAAGAAGTTTTGGTGAAGTTCGAAAAGAACAGGAGTAGAAAAGAACAGGAGTAGAAAAGAGGTTGAGGAGGTTGCGTTGCAAAAGCTGCGGGGCAGACTGTCCAAATACCTGCTTGGCTGCCAAGTGTCATTTTAATTATATCAGCCCAATCAGATTCCTTTACAAACCCTCACTTTTTAAAATTCCCCAAAAAGGGGTTCTCAGTACTTACCCTCAACCCCCGGTACATAAATCATGCTGTGTAGCTCCCCACCGCAGGGTTAGGGTTGGCACTATTCAGGCAACCAACCCACCTTTCAGGCTACACCCCCCGCCTCCCACACCTCGTCGAGGCGCTCGATAAAGTAGAAGAAGTGGCTAGAGTAAACGTCTTCTTGCCCGATTGTGCTGTGCTTTCTGTGGGCTGCTCTAGATCTATATATACATAGGCACCCATCCGTGCACCCTTGAGATATCACAACTGACGGCCCCCCGACCACACACATCTCCTCCTCTGTCAAGATCGTCCTTCCACCGAGCGGTACGTACCCATTTCAGTCGTGGGACCCCAAGAGCCACGAACCTTTGGTACCGATTGGAGACAGCATATATACACCGTCCGGCCCTGAAGCACCCCGCCCTCTCAGATCTAGAGCACGTTTATATATAGCTGGTAGACTTGCTGCAACAGTCGTCCGTCATGGAGAGTGTTGCCGGAAGAATGCGTCATACCTCGGATGAGTTTGGCGGTGGGGTGTATATATCGGGGGCACAGGGGGATAGAGCGGTGGAGGATAGGAGGGAGGGTTATGCCGGGGAGGAGGAGGAGGAGGAAGGTGAATCGGAGGAGGACAGTGAATCCGAGAAGGAGGAGGAGGAGGAGGAGGAGGAGAGCGAACCAGAGGAATCCGAGTCCGAAGACTACACCAGCGGCCGAGGGTGTCACGACGTCGGTATGTCCGCCAACGGCAACTCTGGGGGCGCGCAATACAACGGCGACGAGCGGGAGCATAATGAGCCCGGGCGATACGGGTATGGGGAGGGGGAGCAGCCCACCAACGGCGACTGGATGCTCTGGCCCTGCGGCATCTGCAACATCACCGTCAACATCTTTGCGCGCGACGACCACATCGCCTCCCGCCCTCACATCCGAGCGGCCAGGAAGAAGCAGGCCGGCCAGGAGGCGGCACCGCTATCGCCCGAGGAGACGTATGTGCCCGTGTGGCGGTGCGCGCTGTGCGATGAGGAGATGTCGGTCTTCCTCCGCGAGGAGCATGTGCTCGGGAGGCAGCATCTCCGCCTGCTCCGGAAGCAGCAGAGTGAGGATGGAGCTCATCCAGGCGCCTCGGACGCGCCTCCCACGCCCGGGCAGCAGGAGGAGGACGGTGGGGGGGTGTATGTATACGATGGAGCTGTAGAGGCGGGTATAGCGGGTATAACCTTCGACGACGATCCGGACATATGCATATCCCCGCCAGCCTTCGCCTCCTACGAATACAAGCTGCGCGAAACGTTCTACTGCATCACCTGCGCCGCGGAGTTCGATCTCTCCCTGGAAGAAGATCATCTCGCGGACCTCGAAACCTGGGACTGCACGCTGTGCGCAAAGACCATGCACCCCGCGGCAAAGGAGATGCATCTGCAGAGCGCACGGCACGCGGTCATGACGAGCATCTACGAGTCCCAGCCCGACGACTTCCACTGCCAGGCCTGCCAGAGGAGCTATGCGCCGGTCGAGAGGGAGGGCCATCTCGCGGGGATGGAGCACCAGCAGGTGGTCGCCCGCATCGAGCTGGAGCAGCGGTACATGAAGCGCCTTCAGGAGCTCAAGACTGCGCCGAACCCCCCAGGCTCACGGTCACTCCCGCCTGCACTGCCACACATGACCGACAAGGGGAAGGAGGGTCCGGCAGTACCGATGATGGACAGGACGAAGGTGGAGGAGTGGGGCGATCCATCGGCGTGCGATCTATGTGACGAGCCCCTCCTGGGCATGCAACTCCTCACCCACCGCGCATGGCACTGCCCGCTCACTGGCCCCGGCCTTGACCCCCCTAAGGCACCTGAGGGCCCCCCCTCCAAGGCACCAGAGAGCACCAAGAACCACTTCTTCTTCTGCGACGTTTGCGGCAAGAGCGTGGTCAACAAAGACGAGCACCTACAGGGCAAGAAACACCTAAAGAAGGCCGGCAAGAAGGGCAAACGCAAGGCGAAGGCCAAGTCGGGAGTTTCTAGAGAACCACCAAAGACCCGTAGCGAGAGGAGAAGGGAGAAGAGAGAGGCGCTGCTGGATAGGGAGTACTGCGAGGTGTGTAATAAGAGCGTGGCGGCAATGCCGGCCCATGTGAAGACTAAGAAGCATAGGAGGAACGAGGCGGCGAAGGTGTTGGCCGCGAGAGATCAGGGCGCTGGCCCGCCGAGTACGCAGGTGGCGCAGACACAACCGGGGCCGCCGGTCTCCCCACAGCAGGTGCCGTCAGCTCGCCCGCCGCGGGCGATCCCGCCTGAGCTGTTCCCGCCTCAGCTTCCACCGCCGGTCCCGCCTCAGCTGTACCCGCCTCTGCCAGCACCTCAGCCTCAGCCCGCACCGGCGGTCCTTCCTCAACCGCCGCCGCAGGTCCAGCATCAGCCGGGCCGGCGGCCGGTTTTGCGTCAGCTGGTGCGGGTGCCTCAGGTGGCCTCGTGGCCCTTGCCTCCGCAGGCGCCGCGGGTCACTCCCCACCCGGTGCCTCAGCCGGTGCCTCAGCCGGTGCCGCAACCCCAGGCCATCGCTCCGGCATTCGCAGACTCGCCATACGTGACAATCATGGGGGATAAGTTCCATTGTAAGGTCTGTAAGCGGGACAGGCAGCTTTTGGGGATAGCGTCGCACATGACGAGTAAAAGTCACAAGAAGAAGGTGGCTGCGGTAGGGTGGTAGCGTGATGGGGCGGCGTATCTGTTTGTTTGGTAGATAGATAGCGTTTGGCAGAGAGTCCTTAAGTGAGCTAGATGGGATATAGGGAGGAGCTTTGTGTGTTTTTGTTTTCTGTGGACGTTTATATTCGGTGTCGTTTGTGGTTGGTTGCTTTGGGGGGGCGGGTCTTTTCGTTTCGGTGTTGCGGGACCGGTGGGTTTTGGAGGTTTGGGATTTGCAGGATGCTTTGGCTTCGCCGTGATGAATAATGGAGCTTGTATCTTCCTGACCGCTTGATTTCGATATGAACGTTTCTCTCTTTATCCCCCATTTCATTTGCCTCCATTGTGAAATGGTAATCATGTAGGGTCAAGGGCAACAAGCTTTATATGTGGACACAAAGAGGACATTACTGCAGCCCATGCGGAGAGAGTTGAATCATCGAGCACACCGGTAATGGGAGGGGTCACTTGCTACACGCCTCGAGTTACAGCTGGATTTCTCATTGATATTGAATATGTGTGTACATAGATACGTGCAAGGCTCAGTCCCTACGGCTGGCTTCGCAGGGATACTGATCGATCTGTGATATCTTTCAAATTCCGGTCATGAAGGGACAGGAAGCGAACAAGCCACAAACCTGAGACAGCGGAGAACGCTTGTCCTGACTTTCTCACCGCCCCTGATGGATAGCATGCCGCCGGGCTTCTCGGCCTTCCCGCGCCAGAGACAGTCCCGTTGAGTGGACGAAGAAGCCATGCGATGCTACGATCTCCAAGAACTCTATACCCGAATGTGCTGTATATGTATAATCTGGAATATATCACCCATCAGCGCCGCCCGCCTCCACCTTCATAGCCTTGTGCCAACAACTACCACCAGCCGCCCCAGCAATATCACCACTACCACCAATTTGCGCCCAGCACCGCCACATACAGCATGCGCCTACAAGCTGCACCACTACCTGTCGCCCGTGAGCTCCATTAGAACCACCAACTTGCCCCTACGAGCTCCACCTACCTCCGCCCACGAGGTACACCAGCTTGCGCCCAAGAGCCCGGCCCAGAGCTCGCACCCACCACCACCACCGGCGCAACCGCTACATTGAGCGCGCCCACCACCTCCACTGCACACATTGCCATAACTGTAAGGTTGAATGCAATTAATGAATTAAACAAAAAAATCAAAAAATCTCCACCGCACGCAAGGGCTATCGAGTGAGTCATGGAGTATCACTCGATTGCGTTTGCGGACAACCTCGCCTCCACCCAGAGCTAGCGCCCTCCAGCTCCACCCAGAGCTTTTGGCATTTGCCCACCAAGACCACCAGCCCGCGCCAACCAACCAGCGCTCACCACCACCACCAGCGGCAACTCGCGTCCAGCACCAGCACCACTTTGCGCACAACATCATGGCCACTACCACCACCTGTTGAGCCAACTACGACCAGCTCGCTGAGGGTGACCCAGTTCTTGCAACGGTTAGGTCCAGGCTATAGATGTTTCTAGATGTCTTGGTAGTGCGCCCTAGACTGGACGGATTATCTGATTGTGGTCCGTCCAGTCCCTGACTTCCCTGCATACCTAAATAATGTATATATACATGGCCTATCCTTTACATAAGCACCCCCGTCTTGAATCTCTCCTCTCCCAACCATGCCGGTTCAAACGCCTCCGTCCATTTGCCCTTTCCCACCACTGGAAACACAAATTTCTCCCTCAACTCGCTCAACAACGGGTTCCCGATCCCATCCTTCCTTGACTGCTTTTGCTCCAACATTAGTATCCACTTGTGCCACCATGTTGTCAGAACCCACCTCGACAAGAGTCCCCCATGTGGCGATTGACCAATGCTCCTCCATCTTTTCCCTTCCTCCAAGCTCATCAATGACGGCCCATAGCTGTGCGGGAAGTTGGGGGCCGACATCTAGAAATGCAGGTTCCATTGGAAGGTAGATGTCTGAGTTGAAGTTGTAGCGGTGGGCAAGTGTAATGTGCAGATTCTCGAGCTTGCTGAAGAGAGCGGGAGGGGGGGTTGTGTGTGGCTACGGGGTTCGTTAGTGTTATGGTCTGTATTGGATTATGCGGTAGAGAGAGAGAGCATTAGTTACGAAGACAGCTTAGGGAAGATATATGTGATAAGGAGTGTGGAGTGATATATATATAGATATATGTGTGTTGGAAAACTCTGCACAAACCCTGATACCAAGGCTGAAAAGACCGCCAAAAACCTACCCTGCTGAAATAATTTTCAAAACTCCATCTATTCAGATCCATGGCAAACCTGAGATCCCGGATGTCCGGGCACCCCACAGCCAGCTTCGTTATATCCTCACGTGCCCAGCCCCCCACACCCGTCGGGAACCCAAACTGCGGAGGCTGTTTGATGTTAGCCTCCGCATCAAGGCTCACAGCACTCAAGCCCCTACACCTCCTCGCCAACACCTCAATTACCGCACTCCACTCTGTCGGTGTCCCGCTCTCCCCCATATGCACAAAATGCGCCTCCCTCAGTGACGCGCCACATAACTCCAAAATCTGCACCATCTCCCGCACTCCCATGCCTAAACTCAGTTTCCTTAACCCTCCGAGTCCCCCGCTTTCTAGCCCCTTAGCAATACCGGCCCCTCCACCATCACGAGATACAAGCTGAAGTGTATGCAGCTGCTCAAACGCCACTGTACCCTGCAACCCCTCAATTGCTGCCTTTCCATATCGTAGCAGCCGCAAGGCACGGAGCTCAGGTAGCTCCGGCAGCCCCGAATGAGATACCGTCGCATCAGTGTAAGTCAAATACAACTCCCGGAGTGTACATGCGCTGGCCTCCAAAATGCTCTTCAGGATGGTCGGATCGACACCGACTTTATAGAGCGTTAGCTTCTCGAGGGCCCAGTTGCGCTTCGAGGAAAGATCGGACGAGAGCAGTGGGCTGTCGTACCGGCACGTGAGAGATCTGAGGTGGAGCGCAGCTATGGCCTCTGGAAGGTGCACCCTTCGCGTACCGCAGTTCTTGGGCGTATAGACGAGAGTGTGTATAGCCGTGAGGGTCGTGAACACGTTCAAGAGGGTGCGATTCGGGAATGGGGGGTTACGGTCCCTGAGGTGCTCGCGTTGAGGGAGAATGAGGAGATTCTTGACGCAGGTGTGGGGAACGGTGTATGAGGAGAGGAAAGGGCCGTGGCCTCGACGTTTGTAGTCAGGTAAGAGGGGGTGGAGGACAGCGTCCATTGAGAGGTCCACATGGAGAGGGAGGGTGTGGTAGAGGTGGGGGATAACAAGGGCGTAAGTGGCACGGCAGGTGCGGAGGAGAATAAGGAGTGTCTTGATGCATTTGCGGATGGGGTAGATGACCTATGCATACATCAAACCGGTTTAAGATACAACGTTAGCCAGACCATATTCTTGGGATTTGAATCGTCACGTTGGTTTACACACGAGTCGAATGATTTTTTCGAATAGGTCGAGGGGGAGTTTGAGCAGCATTGCGGGATATATATTGAATAGCCGCGTTATTCTCGAGGTTTAATTTATATATCCTGAGGGTGCGGGGGCGCGGGCTTGCGTCTTTAAATAGTGAAAATGGTGAGTCACCGTGTACTTATACCATCTTTGGGCCGATCGACGGTCCTGCATGTATATGCAGGCAACACCGTCGTAACGGGTTTGAGGGTCTCTCATTATTGGCTCGTGGCTTACTGTGCCGATACAACCATATTCCTCCAATCGTGCAATATCTAATTTCAACGGAATTAAAAAATGAAAACTCATATTATACACTATTCTAGTGCTCCGGAAGAAATTGATATACATAGCAATCAAGAAATACCCGTTGTTCCTTAGGATTTGCTGTCTTTCTAAATGTATGGGTGTTCCGGCTTTTTCATGCGCCAATATAAGGCTTCACCTAACATGTTTACCCCGAACCCCAAGTTCCTATAGCGAAGTCGAGCTTGTGATGACTAAGCTGTCATGTAATAAGGAAGCCTTGACACGACTTATAGTAGACCTTTCCACCACTCACCCGGACACCCTCCTTACCAGGACAGTGGCTATAATAACAAGAATATCTACCTTATAATTCGCTTCTGTACCACTTCTCAATCAATCACCACCGAATTTTGGTGAGAGGGGTGTCCGGATGAGTGGTGGAACGTCTATATCTTGTGAAAAGACTTGGAAGTGTATTTTGGTGCAGGGGCAGTGATTTATGTCCAAGAGCTATATAATCCAGAGTCATTTCGTACAGGTAGGCATACAATTTGGGGGAGGGTCATTTTTCTTGCTTCCCGAAGCACTAGCCCCACAGTACCCTAAATTAAAGCTAGGTTGGAGCATCGCTCAAATAATCGTGGAGCCGGTGTCCGGTGTGAGGTCGCCGTGGACCAGCTGGAGGTAGAGGGTTGACGATGTGTTCAAAAAGAAGTATATCACATCCAGGATTATCATGAATGTAACAGGAGCAGCTAGAGTACATCAGCCGTTTTTAGATTCGATCGAGTGGCATTATATTACACACCCCCGTTGATCACGCCTAGACTACTTCACCTAGGAAGAATTCTCACCGGACTTTTATTTGCACATTTAGCCGATGTGAAAGTATTGATCACTCAGAGGTAGAACCGCCAGTTTATGGTGGGAAAGAGATGATGTTCGATTGAAGTGACAGATTGTAGGTAGGGAAGGAAACCGGTAAACAAAGGAAAGGGGGCTGCGGGTTGACAGTAGCACATGCAATGCGGGCGAATGCCTTCAACAAAAAGTAGAAGAGGGAAGCTTATATCATTTCTCTCCAAGGCCATTGGCAATGGAATCTTAACAGAACTACATCGAATAGGGAATAATAGGTCACACTCCACCACGCAGCTCGCCTACGGTACAGGCAGGGCGGTAATACCACGAGCCCGACCACGAGCACAGGCTCGACCTGCTCAACTAAGATACTGAGAGCGGATGCACGGGAATCGTCAGGAGGCAGCTGGTGGATTACCATGGGTTGCCGATGGATGGGGGCGGGCGCGGAACCTCGCCGCTGGTGAGAGCCTTGGGGGGAGGGCATGTGGAGACGTTCAAGTGGTTGCTGGAGGCGGGGCCGCAGGTGCCGAGCGTGTGGGAGGACTAGAGCGTGCGGGCGGCGGAGATGCAGGCGGCGTTGTTGGTGGAGTATCGTTACGGGTTTGGAAATAGAATGGGCGGTGGAGGAAAGGCTGTGTCCCAAGGGCGGGCGGGTATAATGAGGCGACGTGGTTCCGGTCCCCTGTCCCCGTGGGGCACCATACATGTAATTATCTAACTAACAACAATGATGCTGTGTATATAAACAGTTTGTAGCCCTCTCTGTCTTGAATCAGCTTCAAACTCGAAAGGTGTCACTTGATCTCTCTCAGCTGGTTAGCGCCTTAACACGCTTTTGAACATCTCCTATGGCGGAGAACTGTACAGGAATATCGATTCTGGCGCTAGCTAGTGTATCCCTAGTTAAACCGTCAATTGCTGACCCCCTATCATCCAGGAACTAAGTTTGTTTGGGGGATCCATAATTTGATAAGAGAGATAAAAAGATACATGTATGTTAGTAAAGCCACACAATATTTGCCTTTTTCTAGAGGGTCGGCATTAGTTGAGTGACGGTAAGGGTTATTAACCTGCCAGGTCTCACCCCCTAGAGTACAACACTATCGACGACGACGCACCCGGTACATGCTTTAGTTTAAGCTCTACCTGCCTTAATTCTTCCAGTCACGATGTAGTCGCCATACATATAAAAAATTAAGCGAGCTTCGCGTTACACGCAGCCCATACAAAACCGGCGCCGTGACTGAGGATAGATTTGGGTGCAACCGAACGGGCCCTAAAAGACAATGTCTATAGCATGTGGTAAACCCACATGCCACGGCAGAAACCGAGTTTCTACCTATGATTCCGACCTTTGAGGCTGCTGTTCGTCAGGTAATGAGATGAATTACTTATCCTTAGCAAGACTTCCCTCACGGCACAACCCGCAGAGACCAAACCCAACGCCAAATTGACAATGGGGTAGAATACCGAGTAGATTAGGTGAGAGTGCCGCAGGTTCCAGTGGCAAACTGATTAGAAGAACTTTGCTACGAAGTTCCCATTATAATATGTTTTTATTTCTGACGCAATGCTCCAAAGTAGGCATAACCTCACTTTAATAAGATAGGAATATAATTCGGATTCAAAGTAGGTTTGGAGTGCGGGCGCCGGGAGCGTCGAAAGCGCGCGTACGCTGGAGGGCTAGGGAGGGTGAAATAGAAACTACTGTACATAATATGAAGTGAAACGCGACTCTTTCCGGTTAAAGTCCATACTCATCCGGGGATAAATATTGATTAATTATAGCATTGGTGAACAAATGAGAATGATGGAGCAATTTTAATTAATCGTTATCATATTATATGGCGACCTTACGCAAGCAATTGAGCAGAAAGAATACAGTAAAACGAACCAAATTCCATGTCCATCAAAAGTGCGGCATAATATCCTCCCAAGCTACTGAATGGAAAGAACCTTCGAGGGTTTCCTTAAGCTCACGACGCATTCAATGACGATATATAATCTTCCATAGATGAAGGGGAGGACAGATAGTGCGAAAACAGGTACTTCAATGAGAACGAAGAGGACAACCGTAATATCCTGCGGCAATGTTCATGATTTGGATGTCAGTGAGCTGTTCCCGTAATCAGAAAAATGATAACGAGAGTCAAGCCAATGGGAGAATACCTCCAGCTCACTCTTTGTAGCTTTTAGCGCCCTCTTTAACCTTGGATACTTCTCACAGTCGAGCCATCCGATGAAAGAAGGAAGTATACTCCTGATATAAGAGTAAATAAAAGAGATAAAATGTCCAACAAGGAAATTAACCAAGAAGAGTAATGGGGGGAAATATTGCGAACACACAGTAGAGCCTCCAGAGTAAATGCTCTATGGGTGTAGGATATTTCATGTTCCAGGCCGTGGCATGCATAAGACCATAAACCAGGGATATCAGGATACTGTGGACAGGAGTCCCGGACGTGACAAAATGAGCTTCAAGCAGGCGATGTGCAAGCTCTCGACTGGGGATAACCTAAAACCGTAAGACCACAGACCCTCGAACCTTCTCCAATTAGTATTCGTCTTATTGTTTATACGGTTGGCACGAGTTGCTATTGATAGATCATCCTTGGTCAAGGGCCGGGGCCCGAGGGCGGGAGATGAAAATCGATTTTCTCAAAGCCTCCTTAGAATGGAAGATGTGTAATCTCAATTTTGTTTCGCAGATCATACACTCGGTAAAGCCCGTAAACCTTGTTATCTGCGGTAACCCGTATTATATCATCCGAAATACTGCTGCTGTTTACTGAAAAAGAACTCGCAGGTATCACCTGCAGACCTTCCAAATCTAGCAGATCTCTCTCGTTGCGACCATCATCGAAAGCGTACTCCGTTTCTTCCCCTTCCACAACTAGTTTCAACCGAGCGTGCAGACTGAAATTACTTTTCATAGGGTATTTTATATGAATCTCCTTGGAGGTAGTATATTCTCTCCGATCCAAATGGCCTCTCTTACTGTAACGGAAACGAGGAGCGAACATAGAAATATAATGGAGGACGGCGCAAGTATCATTGTCAAGAAGGCCAGGTGAAAGAAGGATAGGTCGAAGATATTATGCGGTTTGTGCCACCAAAAACCATACATCAGAACCGCAAATATGACATGGGCCAGGACATTCAGTTCCAACAGTGTCACCGGTAGGCCTGCAATAACTCGACAAACACAGTTGACGACCATCCACAATGCCTGAATACAGGCGAGTAACTTAGCTAGACTGTCTGCTTTCGATCGATCAGTGATTTCTGGCCTCACTCGGGCTAGCTGAGTTGTGGTCAGAATGCCGGAGTGGAACAATTGCTCTAGCCCGCTTGCGTTTATCGTGATATACGGTCCGGTTTTGTTATAAGAACTGGAAGATACGCAAGTGTAACCACCCATGATGGCAAAGAACGCATCTTCCGTCGTAAACTCAATAGGTGAGGTCTCTTTGCCCTTTCCTACGCATCTGCGAACCCAAAAAACAGTCCGCACGCAAACGGAATGTATGCCAGTGGAACGGCATATACGCCCCCACCAAGAGCCCGGAGGCAGATGTATTAGATCGAACTCTCTGATTCGTTCGGCGAGTTTTCTATTGCTTGCTTCGACTCTTTCCTTGCACTGCTTGATTAGTTTTAAATCCGGATGCTCTAATCTTTCACGCGGCTCCAGGAGGGTTTCCCCCTCTCCGTCGCCAGCGATATACTGATCCCCGCTCTGTGCTTCCTCGGCGCTTGTCTGGTTTTGCGTGAGCGCATCTAGGACCCAGTGAGCTTCAAGTGTAGATTCCATTGCATCTCTCAGATAACCTCTGCGTCTGGTTGTGGAGCCGATACCATCTACATGTCTATGTATAGCCTGGTTGAGGAGAACCTCCCCTCTTTGTAAGAAAAACTCCAATTACTCCTTAACAGTAATTCGACCAATATCTCGGACAAGCTGTCTCGCACTCGAGTATTCATGGTAGGACTGTGTGAGGAGGAGCTCTAGAGTAAATAGAGCCACCAAGACGGAAAGTACTTGATTCCTCAAGTTGACGAGCGGAGTAATATCCAGGGAGATATTTGGGTGAATCACTGTCCATATAGCCAAGGTTAAGGTGACGAGGGAGTTTGTTACGAGATCGAGTGTCCCACGGCCTTTGGGATTGGGCATGAAGGGAGGCTCATATCCATCGCTTGTCTTATTGAACAATGGCGAAGACAACGCTGGGGACCATTGAAAAGAGATAAGTAGCATGAGTAGAGGTGTAGTCATCGAGTATACAAGTATGTGTGTACTGATTATTACCATAGGATTAGTATAGTTCTAGTTAAAATATGAACATTTACAGTGCCTGAAAATAACTCACCGGGCGAAGCACGCATATATCTAGACTTCAGATGGTTGATTGAAGACGACGATCCGGTAACTTCGATTCGCAATAAGGTGTACTGTACCGGTTTGCGGTAGGAAAAAATGTAATCGTTGAGGTGGTAACTGTTCCGGGAGTGAGAAACCTGTATGTGCAGGCTCTTGAAATAGTACGCTCAGCACATTTCATAGTATTGGAGGATTCTCATTTGTTATCATGAGTCACGGGTTCTGACTCATTCTTTCTCTGGTATTTATTAGTCATGTTTTTCTATTACTCATACGGCTATGATTTACTATGTTTTGTGTTACCTTTCTTTAGTATAAATATGGGGTATTTACCCCTCTAGTTAGTTGGAATAACATGCTCAATTACTACAATTCTCTACATACATTTTCTCTAGGTTATGAGCCCGGAGACTATTTACGCTTAAAACACTCCAAACCATTTTTTACTATCAAAGTACACTCTATCGTTTCACTTCAAATATCTCGAACAACAGCGTAAAAATTCCCGCTTTACCATGCAAGCTGTCTGGCCAAGGCCATTACACTGTTTGGAGGGACCTCGCTTGTTACATATTAAAAGTTCACGATTTGTGGAATCTAGTCAATGGTACGAGTAAGCATCCTATGTTCACCACAACTACTACTACGGTTACAGCGGCACCACCTACAGAACAACCAGCAGAAGGTGCAGTAGCAGCAACATCAGTAGAAGAGGACGAAGAAGAAACCACAGACAACGCCGAAGAAATCAGCGAATGGGACAAGAGAGATAACCTCGCGGTCGTCTTCCTTCAATCCAACATCGAATTTGAAGTTATTCTCACGCTTACTCCGGCCGATACCGCTCACCACCTCTGGACTCAACTCGAGGACAGATTTGATCGAAAAACTGTATCTTCCCTCCACTCGCTTCTTGCCAACGTTGTAACCCTACAGTATACGCCTGATAAAGGCATCAAAGAACATCTAATCCAGTTCAATACTCTTTGGTCATCTCTCCTCACTAGAACTAGTAACTCTACGGATAAAACCAAAGACCCACTCAGTTACCACCTTCACCAACTCGCATCAGTCTCAGAAGGAAAGGCATCCTTCCTACTCCTCTCACTCCGGTATGAATCCCTTGAATCAGTCGTTGACAACCTGCAAACCAAGCCCGAACTCACCTCCGATGACGTCTATGAAAAGCTGTTGGACCTGGACTCACGACGCAACAACGATGAACAGGCGGCTGGAGAAGCCTACAACGTCAGGCGAGGAAACCCAGGACATGGAAGCAACAACAATGTCGGCAAGGCGCGGAACAACAAAAAAGACAAAAAGGATCTCACATGCACATGGTGCACCAAGAATGGTGAATATGCAAAAGGCCACACGCACAAAGACTGCCAGAAACTCAAAGCTTTCAGAGACAAAGAGAAGTCCGCTGCATCTGGCAACCTCAACGTCGCGTCCGGTACTGCATTTCAGACAAAACTAGACCTCTCCTGTATTCCTGACCTCTCTGGCCTCCCCACACTTGAAGAAGCTGATGTATTTACTATGCCGGTTTCCTTCGACTTTACCACTTTCTCAGATACCTCGGATGTAAAAATGGAAGACTACTTTGGCTTCATTGCAGGACCTTCCATATCTGACAACAAGGCATGGATCTTTGACCCTGGCGCAACTAACCACATGACCGGAACTCAGGTTACCAACCCCTCACCTTACAGCGGAACAGTCACTGTTGGCGACGGGCGAAAACTACAGATAACAGGAATTCGAAATATCACCATCAACGGATCACATGGCCCCATTACTCTGCAGAACGTATTTTTAATCCCAGAACTCGGCAACATCAACCTAATGTCTTGATCATGTATTGCCAAAAGGGGATTCACAACAATAGGGAAGGAAAACGGCTTTACCATTTATAAACCGAACAGCAAGGAAATAATTGGGATCGCTAAAGCAAATAGTACTGGTCTTTACATCTTTGAAACCAAGGAACTTTGGGCACACATCTCTATCGCTACAAGCTTCTATGACTGGCATCAACGACTCGGACATCTCCCCGCTTCCTCGCTTTCATGGCTACGCAACATGGTCGCCGATCCAAAGTCTCTCCCCACAACAGGTCAAATGGAAACATGCAACACAGGTGAACTCGCCAAATCCACCAAATCACACCTCGCTCCTCTTACCGAACCACGATCGAAACAACCACTAGAACGTATCCACTCAGATCTGAGCGGCAAGTTTTCCACTCCTTCTCTTCGCGGTTTTAGTTACAATATTACTTTCATCGACGATTACTCCAAGTACGCTCATCTCTACTTCCTTAAAAAGAAGTCAGATGCAGCAGCTGCCACACAACGGTACATCGCATACGTGGAGAATCAATTGTACAAAACAGTGAAACGGTTCTGAAGCGACAATGGTGGTGAGTACATCTCCAACGACCTTTCATGGATCGACTAGTGGAGGTACGGGGTTATGAAGAGTCGGATTAGTCAGAAAGGTTCTATTCGGTTCTACCGAGTTCTGTTGATCGTTAGTGTATGAGTCATGTTGGATTTGTCATCGCTGGGATTTCCTTGAGTATATTAAGGGGGGTTTTGTTTGTATTTCGTCTTCTTCTTCTTCTTCTTCTTTCTTTACGTAACGTCTTCTGTATCTACGCTGTTTACTGCTATACAATATTACCGTCCTCTTCTTTCTTTAAAAGAAGACCACCGCCTCGCTTTCTTCGTGCCCCGTCGAACCTTACCAACGCTAGAGTCCCGTAGTACCCCTATTGCGAGTTCCCATACTGTCTCCTATTTATCTTCTTCGTACCCTGCGGAACACTCGCTACTCACCCCCTTGAGACGACCTCCAACAGCTCTTTGGCTCCAAAGGCATAAAGCATGAATTCACTGTACCCTACTCTCCTGAGTCAAATGGAACAGCAGAATGCTTTAACAGAACAATAGCAACAATGTCACGATCCGCCTTGCTCGACCACGATCTTCCACGGAATCTATGGGCAGAAGCGATCAATAGAATGGTACACATCAAGAATCTTCTCCCGCATAAAGCACTCCCGAATATGACACCATACAAAGCACTCACTGGCAAGAAACCGTTCATTGGGCATCTCCGATCCTTCGGTGAAACAATGTTTATTCACATACCTGTCGAAGCACGACCAGCAGGAACAAAGTTGGATGCTAGGGCAATCACGGGACAATTCTGCGGCTATGGAGACTCTGATAAAATCTGCCATATTTATATACCATCACAAAGGTAAGTAGTTCTCTCTTATTATTTTAGGTTTAAAGGTCCGTCCATGGGGGAAGAAATCGAAACAATGAAAACCGACATACCCCCTAAAACAAAACAAATCGAGATCAAACAAGAATCACCCTCACGTCCACCAACACCACCTGCAAAACTCTCAGATTCCGATATCGAAGACTTGTTCAACCAACAAATGCTTCGAGAAACTATGGAACACATTTCCGACGACGAATCTGAAGAAGAATAAGAAGAAGAAGATGCAAGTTGAGTGGGTGCCTGGTTTTTCAAGGCCCGCTCTTGAATGTACCCCGCATAATGATATTGATACAGATACTGATCAACCGAGACGTAACTCAGTACGGGAATGGAAACCCCCGGCCAGATACGGACATAACATTCAGTATGATACCACCATTGCAGAACCAACAAAATATCACCAAGCGATCAACAGTCCTGACTCTGAAAAATGGCAAAAAGCTATGGAAGTTGAACTCGACTCACTTGCCAGGAATAATACATGGAATCTGGTTGACATGTCAGATCACCGAAAACTGGTCGACTGCAAATGGGCACACAAAATTAAACTCGGGCCCGATGGCAACCCCATTCAGTACAAAGCCCGACTCATCGCAAAAGGTTTCTCACAGGTACCTGGTCAAGACTTTGATTAGACTTATGCCCCCGTCACCCGATATGAATCCATCAGACTGCTTCTTGCTCACTCCCTTCAAACCGGCGGCCAATGCGATCAGATGGACGTTACTAGCGCTTTCCTATATGGCGAACTCCAGGAAGAAATCTATATGAAATCTCCACCTGGCTAACCCACTCCCAGCAAAGTATGCAGACTCATCAAGTGAATCTATGGCCTTAAACAGTCATCTCGGGAAGGGTATCCCCGTCTCTCCAAAACGCTAATCAAAATGGGATTCATAAAAGCGGACTTCGATCCTTGTGTTTTCATTCACAAAACAGGAGAAGTTATCATCGCAATCTACGTGGACGATATCCTTATCTTTTACTAGTCCATTGAACGCAAGAACCGCATCAGCCTCCAACCCCACGCAGAATTCGAAATGACGGAAACTGGAACAGCCAACTGGGCAATCAGGATCAACTTGATCCACACTAAAACCGGCGTGATCCTATCACAGGAAGCCTATTTCAAGCGTGTACTTATCAAATACGGTTTCAATGAATCTAGACCTGTGGCAACACCTATCAACAACAATGATCACCTACAAAAGGGAACAGAATCGGAGAAAATCGACGATCCAACAATCTATCAGTCGATAATTGGTTCATGAATATATGCAGTAATCGGTACCAGACCGGATCTCGCCTACACCGTTACCCCGCTTTCGCAATTTTCCTCATGCCCCACTAAAGCTCACCTGGCTGCAGTCCATCGCGTCCTTCGTGACCTCAAGGATACCCTCGATTGGTCACTCTTCTACGCAAAATTGCCACCCACTGCACTCATCGGCTTCAGTGACGCAAGCTATGCCTCTGACATCGACGATCGCCGCTCATTTACCAGCCACTGCTTTATGCTAGGGGAAGCTCTCATCTCCTGGCGCTCTTATAAGCAGCGCTCCGTCGCCACCTCTACTACTGATGCAGAATACATGGCTCTTTTGGACACCAGCCGACAAATGATATGGCTAAGGAATGCGACACATGAATTGGAACGGAAACCGAAACTTTTTTTTATTCTTCGAGGTGATAACAATGGTTCTCTTTCCTTGGTTAAAAATCCTGTCTTTCATAAAAGACCTAAACATATTGATGTGCATTTTCATTTTGTTCGGGAACGATACCAGTTAGGGTTAGTTAGGGTTAGAATTAGTTAGGGTGAAAATGGAACGTAAACTATCGAGAAGAGAATCGTCAGAGGGGCAGACAAGAAGGTAGGCAGGCTATCGCTTCAGGTTTCGCTTTGATGATGAGCTCTTCAGTGCCAGTAGCGAGGGCGGTATATATAATAGGGACCGCCAGACATCGAGTGAGAACGCGTGACCCTAGGGTTACCTAGGGTTAGGTTGCGGGCCAAAGTCCCGCCGCGTCTTATCGCCGATTCGGCGTAACGTTAGGCCGTTAACGCCGAAACACGTCATGCTGACATATCTCCCTATCCCTGTAAACCCCGATAACTCCTAATACCGCCCAAACACCGAGGAGTTAGGGCTAGTT